GTAAAAATAAGATAATTATAGTATATATACTAACTACTATAACCTCCTTATTAAGGAAGGATACGATCTTAATATAAGCTTAGTAGAAAATAGTATATATTACGCTCCTTTATCTCTTCCCCCGTTTAAAGCCTATAACCTATATAACTATAACTAGCTATACTTCTCTACGCTTTATAGCGCCGCCGCCTATTATAATACTACTATAACTCTTATAACTACTTAAATTAGTAGGAATACGACGTTAACTATATAACTATAGTAGGTTAGCGCTTCTTATTACTATAATCCTAATACTTCTTTATATATTTACTTTAACGACTATACCCTATCGCTATTAAGCTCTAGTAATTCGTTTAGCGACTCGCTACTATCGGTTTTAGGTATTATAGGAAAAACCCTTAGTACCCCTTATAGCGCTTATAGGTAGTTCGTCCTATTGTCTAATAAAGATAAGCTTCTTCCTCTATCGCTACGCGACCTAGATAGGGCTATCTTCCCTAATAAAACTAAGATAATAACTAGCGCCCTTAAAACCGTATAGATCGCTACTATTTTAGCCGATATCGTTAATAAGCTCCTATCTAGATAGGTCGCTTCTACGGATACTAAGATACTTAAGATTATCGCTACTATTACTAGCGCGAAGTACCTCCCTACCTATCTAAAGATATTTAAGGCCGCCGCTATAGAGGAGCGCGAGGCTATTAGTATACTAGGAACCTATAAGTTTAAGGAGAGCCTTAAGCGTACCCTAGCTAAACCTAGAGGATCTAGTATAGTAGACCTTACCTTTAATAAGCTATTAAGGAACTTATTCGCTAAACGCTTACTCGCCGCCGCCGCGGCCCTACCCTTTACTCCTTTTAAATAAGCTAACTTATTTACTAAGGAATAGGCCTTAATACCGGTCTAATAAAAGCTTAACCCCTTTTAAGTTCTAAGCTATAAAAAACCTAGACTATTCCTTATTATACCTTTTATAGTATACTACGATAACCCGGCCGATATAAATAGCTATATAGGTATTATTTACTTTAGGTCGGAAGCGCTAGTCTATAGAGCCTTAAACGCGGCTATAATTTAAGTAAATCTATTTACCGCTATCTATAAAGAGGCCGACGCCGACCTCTTACTTAGCTAGTACGCCGCCCTTACTAGAGTACCCGCTAGCTTTATCTATTAGTTTACTCTCGCTGCCTACCTCTTAGATAACTCGTTTAAGCTTACCGCGGTATATTAAAGAGCGGCCTATATTAGCTCCCTTTATATACTAGTAGCGGCCCGCCTTTATATAGCTAACGTAATAGCTTATTTTAACTTATTAAACTAAAAGTTTACTAATATATACTTAGGTAGGTTTTAAAACCTAGGCCCGACTATATAAGCACTAGTAGTAGTAATCTATAACTAGGTTTTAGCCTCTCGTGATAGACTAGCTATAATACTCCTAGTAGAACCGGCCCTAAATAACGCTTATAGCATGCCTATCTATAAAGCCTCCGATATATAGGATACCTTAAACGATATACCGGTAGGCCCTAAGGATCTAATAAAGGAGGAAGCTAAGGAGGAGATTCCTTGCTTTACCCTTACCCCCGCGGCGTAAGATAGTTAGTTACTAGTTTAGCCTTATTATATCCCTAGTCCTATTTTTTTATACTAGCTTAGCTATAGAGCGCCCTTAGTTATAATTAGTTTTCCCTAGCTTAGCTATACTATGCCCTTAGCCCTACTCGTTTATTACCCTAGCTTAGCTACCTAGCGCCCTTAGTTTTAATAGTATTTTACTCTTAAATTAGCTACCTCGCGCCCTTAATATTAGTTATACTAGGTTACGTCTTAGATAAGATATAAGTTATTCCCTATACTAACCTTAGAAATCTATATAACTCTACTATAATTCCCTATTAGCGCGACTCCCGCCTAAATACTATAGGAGACTAATAAGGATATTAGTTAATTCTTTTACCCTAGGTATTTATTACGGGATACCCTATAGTCGATAATCTAGGTACCTATAACGATATCGGCCTCTCTTAAGGAAGTTACCCTTAACTCCTTAAGGCTTCCCGCGGAAGAAGGAACCTAGAAGCTACTAAGTAAACTCTAGGAAATTACCTAGAAATCCTAGAAATAATAACTAAGCGGATTATATAGATATTTTATAGAGATTTCCCCTAGGGATATATTATATAGGGAATATACTATAATTTCCTAAGTAATAATAGCTTCTTAGGGATTATACCGATATTTCCTTAAAAAGTTACTATAAGAATATAGTAGGGAAATTATAGAGAAATACCTATACTTACTTAGGGAAAATATTAAGAAATACCGCTAATTCGCTATACTACTATTATATAATTATAAGGTTAAGATATTACTTAGTTAAAGCCTTAAGTAAGGTCTTATACTTACTATAGTATATATAGAAGATAGAGAACCTATTAGATCTTAGGCGGGTAGAAAAGAATATAGATAGTTATTACTACTCTTACTTTAACTTATAAGACTAGTAGCTAGTTTATATTTAACGCGCGTAATAACGTATAGTAGCTAGTCTATTTAATATATTTAATTATATATAGTAGCTAGTCTATATAATATATTTAATTATATATAGTAGCTAGTCCGTTTAATTACTTATTAGACCTATACTAGATCTAGGTAGACGGTAAGGTTAACGTACTAGCCCTATACCGAGGGACTAGTATATAATAATAACCGCGACTTAGTATAAGGGTAAACTTATAATAAAAGAAGGGTAGGTTTTCTCTTAAGTACTTTAGTTTTTCCTTTTTATTTACTATTAAAGTTCTAAATACCTTTAATTAAGTTACTAGTATAATTTTAATTAATTAATCTTATATTTAATAAACCTTTCTATATTTAAAAAAGGATTAAAGCCTTTTTAATAGTTTTCTATAATCTTATTTTAGGCTTTAAATAATATTAAGTAAATATTAACTTAAGATAGTAAGTTACCTTAATATAATATATAATTATAAAAGATCTTACTTTTTTTTTTAAGAATTATCTTTCTTTAAGCTTTAATAACTTATATTAGCTAAAAGCTTTTTAAGTAATTATTTTATTACTATACGTACCTTATATAAAGGATAAACTAATAAAGTAAGGCCGCCTTTTAATAAAGGCTTCTTTTTTACTAGCTTAACTATTTAAATATATTTTCTTATAGTTAAAGGTTTTAAGAAGCTTTTTAAGATTACTATTAAAAGACAGCCTATATTTAATACTACTAAAGTATTCTTTCTTTAATAAGTTAAGCTAAATAGTAATATATTTTAAAGTAAATAATAATCCTTCTTTATATATAGAGTATTAATAATAAAACTAGCTATAAGCCTAAAATTATTAACTTAGTTTACTAAGATAGCTAGCGTTTACTTAAATAATCCTTATATAGTAGTAGTTTCTTATATATTATTTCGTGTTTATATAACTATTACTTATCTACCTAACCCCGAGCCTATCTAGATTCTATAGAAGTAGGCACTATGCTTTTAATTCTAGAAGGCCTAAAAGATATGTCGCTTATACCTTCCTATAGATATCCTCTACGTAAAAGGTAGGGATCGGCTCGTATATATTCTAGTTCTCAGGCAGTTGCTGTCGCGAATCGTGGCCTGATTTCGCAGTTCTCGGAGATATCCCTTGGCACGAGGGACTAAGGAAGCTGAAAACACCCGGTGTAGAAGAAGGAAGAAGGAGCTAAAAAGAGGTGCAGAAAGGAGGGTGGGGGCATGAGGGGAAGCAGAAGTGGCGATGGCTTCTTATGGAGGTGGCGAGAGATAAGACGGATATGCCGGCAACGGCTGGAAAAGAGGGGAAAACCCGGCAAAAAGCTCGGTAGTTAAAAGGATATTAGTGGCTTCTTTAAGCAGGATCTTCTTTGTTAATTGAGATGCTAGACGGGTATAAAGAGAGGCGTTGGATAGAGGAAAGAAAGACAATCAAGGCAATATAACAATCACTCTCCCACCTTTATTGCTGCTCCCGCAAAAATCAAATCTCTCTACCTTGCCTATCCGACCCCTTACTTCCAATTTCACCTTCGTGCATTTTTCATGTACTTCTCGCATCTCTCTTCGCGAGAGTTGCCGCCCAGGGTAAAGTTTAGGGGGAAATAGATGTGAGGTAAAATGGGACGGCCGTTACGCCCTTTCTATATTGACTGTCGATGGACTCTTGGCTCTTAAGGAGTAGCAGGCGGCGTGGCGGAAGTCGCAACATATAGGTTTATTAGATGAATATCACGTGGTGTTCCGAATAACTAGGTATTTAACGATTCGAATTAAGCTTTAATCCAATATGCACTCCATCCCTCTTGTTCTGTTGTTGGAATGAGGGGCGGTTTTAGTTTTCTGCTTCAGTGGGAGGCAAACTCCCACAGGTATCGCCGTAGGTTGCTTTAGGCAAAGCTTTGTCTTAGAACAGTAGTCGCGAGAAGTCGGTGTGTGGCCACCAACCGCGTTCAGTGTACTGTTTGCGGTATGGCTTAAGGGCCAACAACGCCTCAACGATCGCGTGCTAAGAGCTGGCTTAACCTAGATCAGAAATGCAGAAGGATGTAGATCGAACTCGGCGGGATAATCAAAAGCGCGTATGGCTGCTTTGTTGCCGTCCATAATCCTGACTGCCTGATTTCGCCGGGTTAACCAAATGGAGTCTTTTCTCCACAGCTTTTGCCGAAAGCCCGAGGGGATAACTTGCTCCGTACATTGCTTCCGCATCCAGGCATCGTTCACGCACCGAAGTGTCTCAGGTCATTCGTTTTTTCTTTTACTCTACATCTTGTCATGTTCCCCTTCACGTTCTGAGGGCCGCAAACGTGGTATTTGCTTACCTCTTGTTTCCATGCTTCCGAGGTTTAATTTACTTTTCCTAACTTTTGAGCATATAACAATTACCAACATCAGCTCCACGTCCTTCCCCCTTTTCCCCTTCTGAGGCCCAAAGGCTGGCTTCCCACAAATATGGGCCCCGCTTTCTACCTGCTCGCAATTGTGTTCATCGTGGGCCTTTTCTGGGCCAAACCATCGAGGCTCCCCCCCGGTCCCCGGGGCCTGCCGATCGTGGGAAATATACACCAAATATCCAGGAGATACTCATGGAAGCAATTCCAGGAATGGCATAAAATTTATGGGCCGGTAATCTCCCTTCGGCTCGGACAACTGACATTCATCCTACTTGGCAATCACGAAGTTACCAAAGAGCTGCTCGACCGCCGAAGCGGAGTATACAGCTCTCGCCCCCGACTGGCCGTCGCAGGGGAATGCCTTGGGAAGGATTTTGGGGCCTCGCTACTCCCATACGGTCCGCGCTGGAGGCAGTTTCGTAAGATACAGATGTCGCTTTTAAACTCTCGCAAGTGCCATCTCTACTCGTCACTGCAAGAGCTCGAGAGCCGCCACCTCCTATATAACCTCTTATCGACGAACGACTTCGAGCCGGAGCTATATCGCTGCTCCTCAAGTCTGATATTCACGCTTCTCTATGGCAGGCGATTTCAAACCGGAGAGGAGACGGATCTCAAGCAGACCGAGCATCTAGCAACGTCTGCCCTTCAAGCCGTCTCGTTCGGCAACTGGCTGGTCGACATATTCCCGATCTTGAATTGGTTGCCGAAGTTTTTCGCAAAATGGAAACGAGTGGGTGACGACCTCCACAACCGCAGGGCAGAACTATACGGGAAGAATGCCGCGAACGCGCTGAATATGCCCTGTTGGAACTGGACCAAGCAAAGCATTCTGCGTGACGCACATCCAGTTTCCCACAAGGAACTAGTGTTTTTGCTTGGGGAAGTATATGAAACCGCGAGCCACACAACAGCAGGTGCCCTTATTGTTGCGATCTTGGCATGCGTTACGTACCCGTCGGCCGTGCTTCGTGTCCAGGACGAGCTTGACAAACATGTTGGCAGGGATCGGCTGCCAAACTTAGCCGACATTTCGAATCTTCCTTATACCCAATCATTCATTCAAGAGGTCCTCCGATGGCGGCCTCTTGCCCCTGGCGGGATCCCTCACTCCCCAATCCGTGACGACAACTACCGAGGCTTCTTCATTCCAAAGGGTGCTATCGTCAATGCCAGTCATTGGTGCCTTGAAATGGACGAGGAAATATTCCACAGTCCAGAAGAATTCATTCCAGAAAGGTGGATGGACAATGATGACCTTCCTACCGCTGGGTTTGGATTCGGTAGAAGAATCTGCCCCGGTCAGCACCTAGCAAGAAATACTCTTCTACTAATAGTATCTCGATTGCTCTGGGCCTTCGATGTTAAATGGAAAGAGAGACAAGAGGCCAAACTCGACTCTCTGGAAATGACGCACGAGGGCATCTTCTCTAAGCCCTGCTCATTTGAAGCGACGTTCACGGTCAGGAGTCCAATGCATGATCAAATTATAAGAAGCGAGTGGGAGGGGCAAAGCAATAACATTGAAGTCATCTTGGATAAGATCGGAGAAGCTTTTCATGGCAGCTGATGCAATCAGCGCAAGGTCTGCGGGCGTCGGAGTTAGCATTGTCGAGCAAGTGAAATAAACATCATGTCCTATCTAGCCGCACGAAACAGGCGACTCTATGTATCAATGTTAAGTCAAAGGTTAGCCTCGAGTCTCGATGACAGAATTCAAAATCAGACTTTCGTGTGGTTTAGGGGACTGGTTGCCAAACAAGGATACTGCCAAATAATTAAAGCCGGAGACGGCCTTCAGCCAACCCTAAACCCCTTTCTTTAACCCAAAGGAACAAATTATAATAGCAATTGCCGTGCTAGCATAGATGGTTTAGAAGGCAGCTCCGAAGCCATCCATCCGTGTAGGTTTATCGTACTAGACGCCCGAGTGCTTAATAATAGATACAGCAATAGCCGCGATAACAGCCAGGCCAGCTAAATTGCTAGTGATTATACCTCGGTAAAGCACTTCTTACTAAAGACTACGAATTAGGTTAAAAGGCGTTAGGATAGCGGGGTTCGTTACTATAAAGTCGGTCGTTATAAATTCCCCGCCGCCCCCTACCGTATTTTACTTTAAGGAAGCCCCTTCCCCTTTTAGCTTATTACTATATATTAGTTTAGTATAAGAATCCCTATACTATCTCTCTTATTTTAGTTAAATTTATCTCTTTCTATCTCTTACTAGTAACCTAATTAGATAGCTATATTTAATATATAGCCCCTCCCCTTATTTAACTTTATATTACTTATATAACCCCTTTAACTCTTACTTTATATATTTAGCGAAAGTTCTACTACCGTTAGGTTTTATATAGCTACCTTTATTATAAAGTATAAGCTGATTTCGCATTCTTAGAGATATCCCTAGGTAAGAGGGATCTAGGAAGCAAAAAACACTAGTATAAGAAGGAGCTAAAAGGAGGTATAAAAAGGAAGGTAGGGGAGAGAGGGAAAGTAATAGTAGCGATAGCTTCTTATAAAAGTAGAGAAAGATAAGACGGATATCTTAGTAATAGCTAAAAAAGAGGGGAAAACTAGTAAAAATCTTAGTAATTATATAGATATTAGTAGCTTTTTTAAGTAGGATCTTCTTTATTAATTAAGATACTAAAGGGATATAGAAAGGGGCGTTAAATAAAGGAAAAAGGGAGAATTAAGGTAATATAATAATTATTTCCTTACTATAATTATTGCCCCTATAAGAATTAAATAACTTTGCCCTACTTATTTAACCCTTTACTTTTAATTTTACCTTTATATATTTTATATATACTTCTTATATCTCTTTTTATAAAAGCTATAAGCTTAGGAGGGGATAGTATACTACCCCTATAACTTTTAGTAACTACGCGCGGTATAACGTTTAACCCCTTATAGATAACTACTTTTCTTAGATTTCCTTAGGTTATTAGCGCGGCGCTTAGTATCTAACTCCCGCGTTTTAAGCTGCTAAGGTCTAGGAATCTTAGCGGAGCTATAATCCTTAAAGGGGTATATTATAAAGACGCGGTTATTTAATATATATTATAATTATAGCGTACCTATTAATCTAGTAAATAGAGATATAAGATATATATATAAAATATATAAAGTTAAAAGGGGAAGTAAGAGGTTAAATAAGTAGGGAAAAGTTATTTAATTCTTATAAGGGTAATAGTTATAGTAAAGGAGTAATTATTATATTACCTTAATTATCCTTCTTCTTTTATTTAACGCCCTTCTTTATATTTATTTAGTATTATAAGGTAGGTAAAAGGTTATACTATAGGTACCTTTTATTATATTATAATAATAAGCTATATAGGATCTAGCTATATACTACGCCTACTGCTACTAAATATATATTTATATATATAGCTTACCTTACCCTATAACGCTATTAGCTAAGGTCTAAGCTAATACCTAGACCTATACTAAGGGTAAATACCCTTATATAAGGTCCCCGCCCCTCTCTTTATAGGCAGTCCCTTATAACGTTAATCTTATACCTTAGCGCGCGGCTAGGAGGTAAATAACCTACTAGCGAGCCTTTATCGCTCTTTCCTCTTAACTATATTATTATTATTAATATTAGTAGTAGTAGCTATAACTATAACTATAAGTCTCTTAGCGCCTAGCTATACGCTATTACTTATATATAAGCTAACCTATACCCCCGCTAGCTATTTAAATAATTTAATATATCCTCTTTTACCTTATCTTACTTCTCCGCTAAGATCGATAACTTCGTCGATCGCGCCCTTACCTCGCCCGCTACCCTACCTACTACCCCCGCCGCCCTAGTCGCGCCTACCGCTACTCCGCGCTACCCGCTACCTAGCTTCTCGGCCGTTAACTTTACTACCTACGCCGCCGCCGCCCCCGCTACGCTCTCCGCTACCGGCCGCCGCGATAATAATAATAATAATAATAATAATAATAATAATAAGTATAGGTCCTCGCCGTCCTTCTTTATAAGCCCCTTTACCCTTATTCTTATAAGTATTACTAACTCCTTATATTAGTATAAGCGCGCTATAGCCTAGGGCGCTACCTAAGGTTTCTTTTATATATAGTATACCTTATAGTCCCTCCCCTACGCCGACTAGGCCGGCCGCTCTTAAGGTAGCTACTTCTTATACGCCTAAGCTAGCCGCGCCTATAAGGTTACGCCGCCCGTCCTAACTTATACTACCGCGGGTTAGAGCGCTATAGAGCCGGGTAAGGACTAGAATAAGGCTAAGCGCGCCTTAACCGCTGCCGCCGTCGCCTACTATAATTTATAGTTCTTTAAGCGCGCCGCCCTCGTACCTAAGTACGTAAGCTCCCTTTCCTATACTCCCTATAGCGCTAACTCTCTCTCTATTAGGGGCACCGTCGCCGCTGCCCTAGCCGCCCCCGCTACCTTTACCGCCGCCGCTGCTACTACTACCGGCACCGGCGCCGCCGCCGCCGCCGCTATCCTTAACGCCGCCGCCGTCGCCGCTTAGCTAGGTAGCCTAGAGGGCCGGATCCGCGCCCTTAAAGCTAGGGCCGCGCCTTATACTAAGGAGGAGGATAAGGAGAAGGATAAGGAGGAAGATAAGGATAACCGTTTAATAGTTAAGACCCTACTAAAAAAGAAGGCCTACTAAGCTTAGTCTATATACCCTTAAGCGCGCTTATAAAAGCTAATACGATTTATTTATACTACTACTAACCTAAGTACGCCCTACTTATTATCTATAGTTATAGTATTTATAATATATACTTATAGCTTATATTAATATAGCGACCGCTATAGGCTCGGTGCCCTACTACTTCCTTAAAGGCGGGGTATAGTCTCCCTTATATTTTAAGGTACTAGCTACTTTACCGCTAAGTAGGTAGCTTCTCTTACTAGGCCGTCGTTCTCTTTTACTAGCCTATAAATAGCCTCGAACTTATTTAGAGCTACGTGCCCTTAAACTTAGAAGCTAGCTCTTACGTTAAGTCTTAGTAGCTATGCTACTTAATAAGGACTTTATACCTCCTACTATAGCCTATATTCTTTTAATAGGCTACTTATAACTCCTTTTCTAAGAACTCCTTCTCTCCCTTAATAAGGATAGCGGCTAGTTAAGGATCCGCTATCTCTTAGCTTAGTAAGGGTTTTATAATAGTGCGATAAAGGAGGTTAATATTAATCGTACTATAGATACTAAAGAGCAGCCCCTTTAGATTTATAGTTTATAGACTTAGTACCTTCTTTATTATATACTTAATATATAGCTAGTTAAGCTTCTTTTTTAGCCTTATTAACCTATAGTTATAAAGGTTTAGCTAGACCTTATCCTTTACTATAAACCTATTTATAGGATCCCTTAACTTATTAGCCTATAGCTCTTAGCTTTAAGCGGTAGATACTTTAATAAGGATAAGGGAATATACCTAAAGCACGCGTAGTATATAGCTAAGGATAAATAAAGCAATTAACTATATAATTATCTAATTATCGGTTTTATATATAGCTCTAAGGGCCTTAGGTTATAAATATAAGTCTTAGAGATTTCTTTACTTTATACCTCTTTATCTCTATTAAAGTCGTATAACTAGCGGCCTTTACTTTAAAGGGGAAAAATAAAAATTTAAATTAACTATAATTAAAAAAGATACCTAATTAAATAATTAAGGTGTTTATAACGCCTTTAAGTATACTTAGAAGTAAGTTAGAAGGGGAGTACTAAGAGTCTTATCCCTTTAATAGGTTAATATCTATAAGGGTATAATCTTACTTATTAAACTCCTCCTTAGCGACTTTCTAACCTAAGATACTAATAAAAAGGGCGCGATAATAACGAGTAAGGCTCTCTTCTTAAGTATATAAGTAAGTAAATAAACTATTAATAGAACTTTTCTCTTTTACTATAATCCTTTTCCTTTATATTATTTATTCCTCCCTTTACCTATAAGCTACCTATTTAGCTCTTTCCTATCTTTACTCGCGTACTTCCTTCTTTAGATAATTATCTACTACCCCTTATATACGCTCTTAAGTATTCGCGCTTATTATTCTTAAGGGCGTTAAGGAAATAAAGTAGTTAGTATCTTTACTAGTTTATAGCTTTAGGTATAGCTAGATTAAATAAGCTATAGAGTTTCGTAGACTAGTTATTTTCGCGTCGCTAGTAGTCCTACGTAAATATATAAAATTATAGTCGTTAATATCCTAGTAGTAGTTTTAATATATTCCTAGATTTTTAACTCCTTTAATATAAGAGGGTTTAAAGCTTAGTATAAACCTTATAAGGACTATAACTAAAGAGACTATTACTATACTTTATTTCTAAGAAGTAATAGGGCGCGCTATAGGCATTACTAAAGTCTTTAGCCTTAAGGTAATTAACCGAGCGCCTAGTAATTTTAGAGTCCTTAGGTAAGTTAGTAGCCGCGATATCTACCTTTCTTCCTTACTAGGTTCTTATTAGGCTATTAATAGGGGTATAGTTATAAGTCTTTTACTCCTTTATACGTTTAAAGGGGTTATTAGTAATAGGCGAGGAGTAGGTCTAATTAGCTATATATTTAAAAGGGAAAATAAAAGCATTATTTCTATATAAATAAAGGGACTAGTAGGGGCGCTTAGCTCTTTCTTTTATAGATTCTAAGGTAGGGATCTTATCTTAAGGTTACTTAAGGAAAGGCTACTTAGTTTAGATATAGGGCTTAATTTAGTTAACGCTTAAAGTAACGAAGGTCTAAGCTTATTCTCGATTCCTATTAGCGTAATTAGATAGTTAAGGGTCTTTTTAGGGAGGAGTTTTATAAAGAAACCGCGTATAGCTTAAGCGATTAGGTTAGGTTTCTCTATAAGGGTAGCTAGCGTAGTTAGCTCTTTTCTCGCTCTCCTTACTATATAAGCTAGTTCTATATCTCTTTAAAGTAATAGTTTCTATTTACCGGGCTTATCTTAAAGGTTAACTACCTCTAGGACTTTTTAAAAGTCTTATTCTTCTTAATCTCCTAGAATAATATAGCTATATTAGTAAATCCGTTTATACCTAGGAATCCTTATAAGAAAGACTCTACTAAAAGTTATTAAACCTTAATTAAATAGTATCCTTTATAGTTATTTAACCTTACTATTAAACTACTAGGAAACTCCGCTCCTTATAATATCGCTTATATATAATTAAGTTCGTTTACTATAATAGCTTAGATTCTATATATTAGCCTATTAATATAGCCTTTTATACTTATCCTCTTATCTAGCTTAAAAAAATACTAGGTATAAGAATATACCTTTATATTCCTATTTTACTATTATAAAGGAATAATAGGCATAGGGAGGCTCTATAAAATAAGCTAGTAAAAAGAGGCTCTATAATATAGTCTAAGGGAATAACCCTTAAAGACAAAGACCTCTACTAGATATCTATACCTTCCTTTAAGAAAAGCGGGTTAAGATAAGCTTATCTTAATAAAATAAAATATGCATAAAATATATAAGTAAATTATAAGTAGGACGGATACCCTACTGCCTATTTTAGCCTAGCGGCTCCGAAGATATCCGCGATACGAGAATATATAGGGCATAGAATATTCTAGTTAAATCTACTACTTATACTAGAACCTATAGTCTTACGTTAGCTATTACGTTATAATTAGACCACCTACTAAGTTAGGAAGATATACTATAGATAGAGCTTTTTAAGCACTATAGAAAGTGCTAGAAAGCTAACTAATTAGTCTACTAGTAGGCGAGCAATAGTCTATAAAAGATAAAGGATTTCCCTAGGAGTAGTAGATAAAATAAGTAAGTTTATAAGTATCCTTTACAACGCTATTCTTTTAATATATTATTTAGCCCCTTATATACTTATTATAAATTCTAGACGAAGTCCTACCCTATACTCCTTTAACTAATCTTTCCGCTTATATTATCGATTACTTAATTCTACGCTTATTACTTATACCTTCTTATACTAGTCTTAGTATAAGATTTTATCTATTTATAAGGCTTCTTATATTACCTTATACTTTTACTTTAGAATTACTTTAACCTTTAAATATCGCTACTTAATTCTCTTAAAGTATAGCTTAACTATACCTTTAACTTAGTATTAGATTATTATTAAAGCTAAGTAGCTATATTCCTACCTTTCCTACTAAGTAGTATAAGGGACTAGCGTATAAGTAAAGTTATAAGGAACTTAAAGGATATAAAGAAACTACTACTATACTTATAAGAGCGTATAGAGTTTAGCGTACTATCTCTCTTTCTAAGTATTAAAAATAACTAAGTTTCCTTCCTTATAGTCTTAAAGGAACGCTCTTTAATAAAGTCCCTTTCTATTTAGTCCTATTAAAAAGTTAATAACTTTAATCGTATACTTTTATTTATATATAAAGCGACTAAGGTTAAAGGTAGGAGCAGTAAACTTAATTAGATACTCCTTATTATTTAAGTATTTATAGTACTTTATATATCTATCTTTTATATCTTTAATAGGTTCCCTTTAGTAGTTAGTATAAGCTGATAGTTCTTATAAAGAGAGATACGAGAAGTATATAAAAATATACGAAGGTAAAATTAAAAGTAAGGGGTTAAATAGGTAGGGTAGAGAGATTTAATTCTTACGGGGGCAGTAATAAAGGTAGGGGAGTAATTATTATATTTCCTTAATTATCCTTCTTTCCTCTATCTAACGCCCTTCTTTATACCCGTCTAGCATCTTAATTAATAAAGATAATCCTACTTAAAGAAGCTACTAATATCCTTTTAACTACCGAGCTTTTTACCGGTTTTTCCCCTCCTTTCTAGCCGTTGCCGGTATATCTATCTTATCTCTCGCTACCTCTATAGGAAGCTATCGCTACTTCTACTTCCCCTTATGCCCCTACCCTCCTTTCTATACCTCTTTTTAGCTCCTTCTTCCTTCTTCTATACCGGGTGTTTCTTAGCTTCCTAGGTCCCTCGTACTAAGGGATATCTCTAAGAACTACGAAATTAGGCTATACTTCGCGATATACCCCCTTAGCTATAGCCTGCCCTTATAGAAAGGGTAAAGCTAAATATCTAGGCCGGTAAGCGTATAGAGGAGGTCTTAGTCTATACTTATCCCTTACTTAAGAAATCCGGGTTTTAGCCCTAGGCTCTTTTAGACCTACTTTAGGAAAAGGGGCCTAAGGAGGAAATTAAGTCCTATAAGAAAGGGGGGCTTCTCTAAGGATAAGTCCTTAAAAAGGGGGCCTTTAAGAAGAATAAGTCCTAATTAAGCTAGGGCCCTCCTTTAGGATAAGTCCTAATTCCTCTCTTTAGCTATAGACGTCTCCTTCCTCCTACGTACTATTAGCTCCTCTCGTAGACTCTTAAGGCGGGCTTCTAAGGATAGCTTCTCTCGAACGTCTTCTAGCCTAATTTACTATAAAAAGATAGCTAGCTTTTACTTCGGTAAGGGCTTCGTAAGACCGACGGCTTTTATCGATACCATTAGAACCTAACGGACGGAAATAAGTCCCCTTTAGACCT